TAGGAACTGCAGATGCTGGAGAATCCGAGACAACAAGGTGCAGGGCTATATGAACACAGCAGGCCAAGCAGCATCATAGGAGCAGAAAGGCTAAGGGGATGGAGCCAGTAGAGGTGAGTGTAGGTGTGGAGTTAGGGTGGCATAGGTCAGTCCAGGGAAGACGGACAGGTCAAGGGGGCGGGATAAGGTTAGTAGGTAGGAAATGAGGGTGTGGCTTGAGGTGGGAGGAGGGGATAGGTAGGAGGAAGAACAGGTTAGGGAGTTGGGGACAAGCTGGGCTGGTTTTGGGATGCGGTCAGGGGAGGGGAGATTTTGAAGCTTGTGAAATTCACATTGATATCATTGGGCTGCAGGGTTCCCAAGCGGAATATGAGGTACTATTCCTGCAACCTTCGGGTGGCATCGTTGTGGCACTGCAGGAGGCCCAGGCCCAGGATGGACATGTCGTCTGAGGAATGGGAGGGGGAGTTGAAATGGTTCACGACTCGGAGGTGCAGTTGTTTATTGCGAACCGAGTGTAGGTGTTCTGCAAAGCGGTCCCCAAGCCTCCGCTTGGTTTCCCCGATGTAGAGGAGGCCACAACAGGTACAGCGGATGCAGTATACCACATTAGCAGATGTGCAGGTGAACATCTGCTTGATGTGGAAAGTCTTCTTGTGGCCTGGGATGGGGGTGAGGGAGGAGGTGTGGGGGCAGGTGTAGCACTTTCTGCAGTTGCAGGGAAAAGTGCCGGGTGTGGTGGGGCTGGAGGGGAGTGTGGAGCGGACAAGGGAGTCACGGAGAGAGTGGTCCCTCCGGAAAGCAAATAAGGGTGGGGAGGGAAAAATGTCTTTGGTGGTGGGGTCGGTTTGCAGATGGCGGAAGTGTCGGAGGATGATGCGTTGGATCCGGAGGTTGGTGGGGTGGTACGTGAGGACGAGGGGGATTCTTTTTTGGTTGTTATTGCGGGGACGGGGTGTGAGGGATGAGTTGCGGGAAATGCGGGAGACATGGTGGAGGGCATTCTCGACCACTGACGGGGGGGGAAGTTGCGGTCCTTGAAAAACGAGGACATCTGAGATGTACGGGAGTGGAATGCCTCATCCTGGGAGCAGATGCGGCGGAGGCGAAGGAATTGGGAATAGGGGATGGCATTTTTACAGGAAGGTGGGTGGGAGGAGGTGTATTCTATGTAGCTGTGGGAGTTGGTGGGCTTGAAGTGGATATCGGTTTCTAGGTGGTTGCCCAAGATGGAGACAGAGAGGTCCAGGAAGGTGAGAGAGGTGTTAGAGGTGGTCCAGGTGAACTTAAGGTTGGGGTGGAAGGTGTTGGTGAAGTGGATGAATTGTTCGAGCTCCTCGTGGGAGCATGAGGCGGCGCCTCAGTGTAACGGAGGAAGAGGTGGGGTTTAGGGCCAGTGTAGGTACTGAAGAGGGATTGTTCCACGTAACCTACAAAGAGGCAGGCGTAGCTTGGGCCCATGCGAGTACCCATGGCCACCCCCTTTGTCTGTAGGAAGTAGGAGGAATTGAAAGAGAAGTTGTTGAGGGTGAGGACGAGTTCGGCTAAGCGGATGATGGTGTCAGTGGAGGGGGACTAGTCGGGCCTGCGGGACAGGAAGAAGCGGAGGGCCTTTAGGCCATCTGTATGGGGAATGCAGGTGTATAGGAACTGGATGTCCATGGTAAAGATGAGGTGTTGGGGACCGGGGAATTGGAAGTTCTGGAGGAGGTGGAGGGCATGGGTGGTGTCACAGACGTAGGTAGGGAGTTCCTGGACCAAGCGGGAGAAAATGGAGTCCAGATAGTTGGAGATAGGTTCGGTGGGGCAGGAGCAGGCGGAGACAATGGGTCGACCAGGGCAGTCAGGTTTGTGGATTTTGGGAAGGAGATAGAAGCAGGCGTTGCGGGGTTGGGGAACGATGAGGTTGGAGGGTGTATCACCTCGTTGTGAGCGGGGTCGCCCGGTCCATACACAACTTCCGTAGTGGGCGGAGCCCGTTCGGCACGTGCGCACCTCCACATGCTGGCGGAGACTGTAAAGCACATGCGCGCTGTCGGGGGAAATTTATTAAGTGCATGCGCACTGTTCTGTGGTGTGTTTAACGAACTGTTCAGATCTTGATATGTATAGGAGTTGTAAATTTGAAATAAATTTTAGAACACAGGCAGAAGCTCACTGTGACAGTCTATCAGCTCAAACTGACCCAGTAGCAGAGCTCCCACTACGTGGAGACAGAGTGAGAAGATAACCACTTACAAGATTCATATTTGCCAAGTTACCAAGTTCATCAGAGCCAAATACACAGCCTGGCCAAGTTTAACTGCACAGGCAGTATCTGGTCCTAGTCTTGTTACCAGTAATAGTTGAGGTAAGGGTGGCGACAAAGACTTAATGGTGCAATTGGTAGAGTAATTAATGTAAGAATTAGGAGTTTCATTGTGAAAGAGCAATTTTATAGATAATATTCAGCCATATAGTCCCTTTCGTGTTTTGAGCGTATTTTGTGAATAAAATTGCGTTGAATTGAAAGTTGACTCTGACCCTTTTGTTCATCTCACAAGTAAAGTACCTGAGTTAAAAAAGTTTATGTAGAAACTGGTTGAAGTGTCCAAAGCACAGACAAGAGGAATAATGTGAGAATAAGGCGTTAAGGTAGATGATTAGCCACAGGCAGAACAGGCACCAGGGGCTGAATGACCTATGCCCATCCTGATGAGTGCAAAGCAAAAGGCTTCAACTGCTTTCTTTCTTTTCAGCAATTCTCAAGTTCTGCATGAACAAGCAACTATCTATTTATTTATTCATAGCATAGGGGAACACTGACAGTGCAAGGTTTTATTGTCCATCTGTAATTGCTCTTGAGAAAGTGTGGTCTATGTGGTGAACACAGTCCTACAGTTTTCCTATGTAGCAAGTTCCAGGATTTTGACGCATCAACAATGAATGAATGGTGATACATGTCCCAAACAGGTTGTTGTTGGGGGAGCTTCGTACTGTGGAAGAAAGTGAGAGGTTGGATAGAGGCAAATATTTTCCACACATTTTTACAGGCTGTTCAGGACAAGATGAAACAGCCTTAAATTAAGAACCAAGGAAGTAAGAGTGTAAATTATGGAGGTATTGACCATATTCTTTAATCCTCCTTAAGATATAGGGATGGTGCCAGAGGACTAGAGAACTGCAAATCTTACACCTATGTTCCAAAACGTTTGTCAGGATAAAGTCAGCAAAGTCTCTTTAACCACAATAATGGGAAACTTCACGTATCACCGGCACAGTAGGAAGTATTCGGATTCAGCCCATCCACTCCAGGCCTGCCATGCATTTTTTTTTCTTTCTTCTTTTCATCTTTTATCTTTTTCTGTTCATAGAATCCCAGAATCCCTACAGTGTGGAAACAGGCCCTTTGGCCCAACAAGTCCACACCGACATAAAGAGCATCCCACCCAGACCTATCCCCCTAATCCACACATCCCTGAACACTATGGGCAATTTAGCATAGCCAATCCACCTAACCTGCACATCTTTGGACTGTGGGAGGAAACCGGAGCACCCGGAGGAAACCCACGCAGACACGGGGAGAACGTGCAAACTCCACACAGACAGTCGCCCGAGGGTGGAATCAAACCCGGGTCCCTGGTGCTGTGAGGCAGTAGTGCTAACCACTGAGCCACCGTGCCACCCCATTCTTTATATTCCGGACATCCCAGGGGGGCCGGAGCAGTGTTGGCAGTGACTCCTGGCTCATAGGCCTGATACGTGGTCTCCTGGAATGGCAGCTTCAGTGATGACAGAATGGAGACTCCTGGGCTCCATTGGCCAGATGTGTGGACTCCTGGAATGATGGCAGAGCAGGGATCCTGGCTGCAGTAGGCCTGGAGAGTGGACTCTTTTGGCAGCGTTGGGTCATCTACTGAGGCCGTGTCATTGCCTAGAGTGGGGGCTCCTGGCTGCAATAGGCCCAGATCAGGAACCTTGCAGAAGTCGAGGAGCCATGTTTGGGACCCAGCCGATGAAGATGAACTCTATCTAAGTACTTTTTTTATTCTTTTCCACCTTAAAATGGCACCGAATTGTGGTGACAGAACACTTCTCGCTCTATCTCCCTCGATATATGTTACAATAAATCATTCATTCATTCAACTTTTAGCAAAGACAATTGAAGACAATGTTTACAATGATAAATACGGATTAATAAAGGAAATTCACTGCAAACTTTTAAGGGTAAATTGTGTTTAACTAAATTGCTTGACTATTTTGATGAAGTAACACAGACGGCTGATGAGAGAAATGCCTTTGATATGGTATATGTGCATTTTCAAATGGCATTTGATAAAGTGCCATATAAGAGGCTTGTTAACAAAGTTAGAACCCATGGAATGAAAGGAGCAGAGCAGTACAGATATGAAATTAACTGAATGACAGTAAACACAATAGTTTTGAATTGTTTCTGGACTGCAGGGATGTGTATATAGTATATGTATGTATATATAAGCTCCCTAGGAGTGTTCATATTGCTGCCTTCTTCATTATGTATTAATGATGTAGACGTTGGTGTACAGGGTACAATTTCAAAATTTGGACTGTGAAGGAGATCCTGATAAACTCTAAGGGAACATTGACAGCTGGTGTGGGCAATTGCAGACAGAAAAAAAGCAGAGAAGCGTGATTCATTAAGTCACTGAAGGAAGCAGGATGGATCGAGAAAGCACTTAATAATGTATAGGGATGTTATACTTTGTAAGTAGAGGTACAAAGTACAACAGCAAGGAAGTAGTGATAGAGAACAATCACTGGTTCAGCATTAACTTACAAGACAGAAACAGTACTCCTGGCTAAAGGCTTTCATTAAGACCTGGTGGGAAATGTAGAAAAATCAGTGTGGACTTGAAAGACCTTGAAGACTAGTCACACCTGGCAATTAATGATTCCACTGAGGTTCTGTAGGA